GGGAGTATAATTCTCCTGAGTCCTTCCTGAATAAACTGTAGAAAGCAATCATCAAGTAACCATGAAAGAAAAGGAGGAACTGCAACAGATATGCCCCAATTTAAAATCATCATATCTTTCAATTCCCTGCAACAGGTTTCTCTCTTTATTCCCTACTTCAGCTAATGTTACCGCAAAATCCAATAGCCTAACTAGCAAACTGGGAGTTATCCTAGTCACCCCATCTCCTTCATTCTCACATCTAACCAGTTAGTTATAAAGTCCCGTCAAACTGCAAAGCTTTCTCTCAAACCTTTCCTCTACTTTCCATCTCTGTTGCCCAGCCTTAGTTCAGGTATGACCCTCTCTTGTCTGGATTATGGCCATAGTCTCCTAACTGCAGAGTAATTTTAAAACATTTATCAACTGGCATGGCACAGACACTGACCAGCCAGAATGACACCAGTCGTAGCGATGGTCCAGCACACTGGTCCTTGTCAGCTGTCTTTTATCCCTAGCCTAATTGGTCTCCTCGCCTCCAATATCCACTTGCTCCAATCCATAATCCACACTGTAATTTTTCAATGGCATAAAGTGGATCGTGTCACTCCTTGACTCAAGTTCTTTTAATAGTTTTCCATTACCTACAGTATAGTCTTATGGATGAAGACTAAACTCTCTGGCTTGATGAACAAGGTCCTTTAGGACCTAGTCCCCACCTAGCTGTTAAAGTTTTCAATCTCATCACAGTCTCACATTCAGTGCCCTACAGCCACTCTGAACTTCTTGCAGTTCAGTGAATGCACCATAAGCTCTTTGAGATTCAGGTCTGCGGTGGACAAGTCAAGTGGCATATCTGGAATAAGAATGGAATGTACATTCCCCCAAAGGACCCCATTTCTGGTTCTGGAATGATATCTGAGCATCAGGAGAATCCACAGAAGCTCCAGGGCCAAGGGACAAAGTGACCTACCCAACAGGAGACCAGCCACAGATCTTTTCTTATTCCTCACTTCCTTCTCATTTTGAGTTTCCTATGTTTATTAAACAACCAGTCACTTTATATTATAGACACACTCCATCATTTTTTTTGGATTAGCTGACTGACAAGATAGTCCCTAAAGAGTGGATTCTCAAAGTGATACTGTTTCCTATCATTTGTGACAGATCAGCTACCTCTCCCACATGCCAAGGCAGGGCTGCCTCTAGGGAGCAGAATTCAGTCTCTCTTTTGCTCATTTAACAAGTATTCGTGAGGCATCTCAGGCACTGGGCTCTGAGCTCCACATCCAGGATTGTGACAGATAAGGGCCCTGTTCTTATGAGCCTTCGAGTGAAAGTGGACCACAAATGAATACAAATTACAAGGACACAAACAGAGGCCAGCTAAAGAGACTAGGTGGGAAATCTGCACGATCGGAGGTCAGCAAAGTCCTCCCTGAGTAGAAGCTACTTAAACTGTGGCCTGAAGGCTGAGAAGGCACCAGGCAAAGACCCAGGGGAGGCACAGTCTACGCAGAGAGCCGGTCAGCACGGAAAAAAGCAAAACCACAGTGGCTTTCTCAGAATAGTGCTTAGAAATAGCGTCTCACCCACTTATGCAAGGAGCACAATTTATGCGTTCCTTGCAGATCTCTATACCCTTGTAAAAGAAATCAGATAGTCCTATTATGAGTGTGCTTGTGAATAGTCTGGTGGAAAAATTGTGCTCAGAATCACATTCTCCTAAAGGTGCTTTGTGAATTCCCCTTTACTTGCCTTTTTCGTGATGGCCTTCCCCTCTGCAGTGCTCACTGCCAACCTCTACTGCAACATTTCTACCATCCTTTGAAGGCCCCATCAAGCCCTGCCTCCCCCATGGAACCTTCTCTGACCACTCCAGCTCTCTGTGACCGCCATCTTCTCTGAGCTCCTACAGCGCTTCCATCTTCCTGTATGAGCTATTTTCTATAAATTATTTCCTTCCAGAGGCATGTGTCTTGTTCTCTTCCTATGATCTAAAAATAAGCATCACGTCTGTGTCCAGCCTCAGTCTCTGATGGATCAGCCTTTAACATTTGTTCAATTTTGCAGTTTCAAATCGAAGTAGACTACTCACCTACCCCAAAAAGTCCAACACTGGATGTAGGATCATTGAGTTTTTATGAAGGGATTTGACCAGATGGATACATAAATACATACAGAAAAATGGCCTAAAGTAATACGAATTTCCTCTTCCAGGTAAGCACCTCGGAACACTTTCCATGTAAGCAAAAGATAATAGTAAGATTTCCTCAACCAGAATTCGGGGACTCGCAGCTATGAGAAAATCCCCAAACTTAAGAATAAGTCCCAAACTCAATTTTTTCCACTTCAAAAAAAAAAAAAAAAAAAGCCCGGGCTTCCCTGGTGGCGCAGTGGTTAAGAATCCGCCTGCCAATGCAGGGGACACGGGTTCGAGCCCTTGTCTGGGGAGATCCCACATGCCGCAGAGCAACCAAGCCCGTGCGCCACAACTACTGAGCCTGCACTCCAGAGCCTGTGAGCCACAACTGCTGAAGCCCGCGCACCACAACGAAGAGTAGCCCCGCTCGCCGCAACTAGAGAAAGTCCGTGTGCAGCAACAGTGCAGCCAAAAATAAAGTAAATAAAATAAATAATTTTTTTTAAAAAAGGCCAAGTTCCAATTATTTTTACAGTACAAAAATTTTATTTTTTGTTAGGATAATTTAAAGTTTAAAACTGAAGTAGACATATTCATTTTACAAACAAGATATTCTTTCATAAGTAAGACCATTAAAAACAGTAAACAAAAAAGCTGTCTTTACAAAAAGCTCTGTGCATAGCAACTTTATACTGTATATAACTGACAAAGCAAAACGATAAAATGAAACTATACAGTTTGAAAATGAGACCTTACTGTACAAAAGGTAGAGAAGGGGATGGTTTTTAAACCATGCATATTGAAATGTGCAAAGAAAAACTGGGGGGAAATACGATGATATAACAAAAAATGAGATAAATAATGAAGTAAATTGTCCCTTTAAGTGAAAAATCTTAACACAGCTCCTTTTACAAAGATAGGATAGAATTTGTAGTTACCTACAGAAATACTTATTCCAAGTGGCACAAAAATAACCTGGGACCGGAATGATTTAACAGCAATGACTAAAGAGGACAGAGTAGCTTTGTTTTTAATTTATTAGTACACTAAAAATCATCCTTACACACATTTGTACACTTAAATAGATCTGTCACTGCTGAGGTTCTAGCTGAATGGTCAAGGATGTCTGGTATTTAGTTACACACATTTTTCGGTGTAAAGCTACCAAGAAATTCTACAATCATTTTGAAGACAGTACTGCACTCATCTTCATGCAAGAGCAAACTTCACAGATTCTAAAAGCGATGCTACTTAAAAAAAAACATTTCCTTATGTTGGATTGGCTCAAATCCAGGTCTAAACATGCTTAATTTTGTTCTGCTTTCACTTTTGGATGGTGATGTTTGTCATCCATACTCCTCCTCTCCCATCAGATTTTTCACTGGGGAAAGTTCTCTTGTGTGTTTCCCTGGTTTTTTTTTTGGTGCTTTAAGCCCTGACTAGGAGGGACAGGGACGGTCAGCAGGAATTACGAATATGCCAGGTTTCCAAACCCTTGGATTATCATGTGCGTAGAAATAGTATTTGGGTCATATTGGGTAGTTCTAGAATAGATTAAAGGCAAATAAGACCACTGGGGGTTGAATAGGTGTGAGCAAATGGAAGGGAGGCTGAATTTATGAAGTTGTCCAAAATTGGCTCAGATGCACTAAACATGTTTTTCCAGCAGAGCTGCATCAATTTCTAATAGAACCCCAACCAAGAAGCCCAAACTGAAGTCTGTATATAGACTATACTGTGGTGCCAGTGAGTCAGCAAGGAGAACCCTGGTCTGGACAAAAGTGACATCCTTGCTGGCAATCCAGATAATTCTGGATACATCGCCAGGATCACACAGGCTCTCAAGACTTTACTCCGTGTTAGCAGTTCCTGCAAGGTTTCTCCTGCTAAGAGCTAGTCCCAGAACTTACGAGTGCCTGTCGCAGGCCTGAGGAAATGCGTTGCTTGGAACACAGATGCCCCTACTCTCTGACCCTGCTAAGAATCTAGGTTTCCATTTCTTTGAAGATCAGAGGAGAGATTAGGGCTTTTAACATGCCTCTTCTGCACCCCATCACATTCTTGCCCGGAAACGGTGTCAAGTTGAATACATATTTTTTTCAAGTGAGTTTAATGCCATGAAAGGGGAGATCTGCAGCGAGAAGAAAGGATGTGAACATCCTAATAAGATTGACGATGAAGAGTCCAAGAAACAGAGTCACCGTCTTCAAATCCAGTTTCTGAAGTTCTGTGGGGCTTAAATCTCTGTGCTGAACCACGTAACCAAAGAGGAGGGAGGGAGGGGCTCTGAAAGGGAGATTCCACAGAGGCCACTTGTTTGGGAAAGTCACATGGCTTTGGCTGTCTTTAAGGTGAGACCCGTCTTTCCCTGGGATGCAAAGCCGGGGACACACTAAAACATGGGAATTCTCTGCACTGCTCAGGGGAGAATGTTGAACGCTAATATAAATTTTAAAAATTATGTATTCACAAAGCGTGAATACCTAAAGGGACGTGTAGACTATTTAGAAAGCAGACGGAGCTGGGAGTGGATTGATGGGTTTGAGTATTTGTGTACGTGCATGGACTTGCATCGTTTCTGCATCGGGTGGTTCTATATTAGATGCATGTTCTTGCCTGTGGGTCAGTAAAATGATGGAAAAAGAGGGGGATGCGGGATGGGGGATAAGAGTCTAGTAAGTAACTGCAGTAATAATCACACACCTTTTAAACTTGTTACTACATGTTTGCATCACTTCCATTTTACATCAGGAAGAGAAATTCCTCTCTCTTCCAAAAAGGTCTTAATTTCTACCTCTACTTACAATAAGTTACACGTTTATTTATTTAAATAATTGTAAAACATTTTAAAATTTTTCCCTTTTTTTTGTTTTTTTTGTTTGTTTGTTTTTTAAAGAGATTAAACTATAAGCAAACACACATACAACAACATTTCATCATTCAATTCAGGTTTCATTTTAAGAAAGTCTTCCATGCTGGTACCCTGTTTTGTTCAATTTTTTTTTCTGCATAAACTAAATTGGTATCTGAAAGGCTTCATAGAAAATAGAAACTTTCAACTTTTTTTTCCTACAAAGAAAAACAAATAGTATCCAAAATATTAAGCATGAATCGTTTGCCAATTTTTTTTCTTAAATATTTTACAAACATAGGAAGGTGGTTCTCATAATGTTCATAACAAAGAATTGCATTTCTGCTCTTAGCACTGACTACGTCAATGACATCTTTTGTCCTTGTTCCCAAGAGGGTCAGTTTGTGTAGTTACCATCAGAGCTACACAAGAAACGTGAGACCAGGTAAGAGGCAGCTCCTTGCAAACCCAGATCTGTCCATCATGTTCACCTGGGGCACAACTTTCCCCAGAGAGCTCCTAGTGCTTTCTTCATTATTGGTCCATCAGAGTAAGCAGTTTTGTGCTATAAGAAAGCAGTTCTTCCTCTTCTTTACATTGGGGGCACGACAAGTCCGGTCATGGCTGCAAGGGAAGAGTGGCACAGGCATGAGACTTAGAGATTCTTTACATTAAGGGCTAGAAACCAGAGAGAGGGGCGGGGCCTGGGATGGACAGTCTGGTACCGTCCAGGGAGATGGTGCCCTCAGCTGATATGGGAACCCATTTTCTCCAGGTCCGGTCTAGCAGACAGCCAATGAGAGGCACCAGAGCCTTACTGAATCACTGAAGCATAAACAACGCTTGTTGAAGTTTTGCTTGGGAGGCCAGAAATTATGTTTTGCTTTACATTAACGGGTTGTACACATGACATAAGAGACATAAACATGTAAACTAAATTGTAATATATGTCTAATATATTTTTCACTCTTAGACTAAAATAATTTCTAGATTATATGGTTGGAAGAGGAAAATATATTCCAGGTGCCAAGCCTATTGAGTTACTTACTAGGCATGGTTTATAACAAATCGGACTTTCTGTCCATCCTAGCTGAAATTGGATGACTTTTTTTTTTTTCCTAACTAGCTCATCTTCCTTTGGGGCTCACGGCTGTACGTGATGTCCATTCACTAAGGGATGCTGATCCACTGGAACAAAAGACTTAATTGAGTTCCTAATTTGGGAGTCACCCCAATCTCTACTCTTCACCCCCAATCCAAGCGCAGTGTCCAGTGCCCCTCTGTCAAGAGGATACTGCAAATGCCTGTCTGGGTGGCATCAGGTCCAAGGTTTCCCCTCGATATGAGAAATAAAGCAGCATCAGCACAATGTGGAAAACTCACACAGCAAAACGCAACCCTCTGGCCTTGGCTTTCGGGTGATGAACCCATCGAATTTTCACATTCTTGGAAACTGGCAGAACAGTTTCCTTGTGTCCAAACTTCACACTGCATCTAGAATTTGATCCTTTGAGTTTTATTGTCTAAGCCTCATCTAAAGGGCTTATCAAACATCATAGAAGCATTTTGCTGAATGGTGTTCACTAACCTGATAAGCAAATGGGCAAAATTCTTCCTGCTTCTTCCAACACGTCTCTCTCTCTCTCCCTCCCTCCTTCCCTCCTCTCTCCCCCCCTCCTTCCCTCCTCTCTCCCCACCTCCTTCCGTCCTCTCTCCCCCACCCCTCCCTTCCCCTATCCCTCTCCTCTTCCCTTTTCTCTCCTTGCCAGCCAGTCTTCTCAGGCAAAATTGTCAGCCATCTATTTCCCTGACCATACAGCCTTTATTGAATGTTTGTGAGATCCAGATTAAGGTCTTACACAGCGGCGAGCAAACCCTTAATTATTTTTGTCTGTATTACTATATATTGAATCGATGTAACTTTTCAATAAAGGCAGTTCAATTCTGGACACTCCCCAATGATTTGGAGATATAGCAACCCTGGTAATTATCCCAGAGTGTAGGAGGTATTTTATTTTATTCTTTTTTTTTTTTTTTTTTTTCCTGGAGGGAGCTGGAAAACGAATCTGGCACAGTGTATACTATTATCTCGACGATCTATACTCATCAACTGTGAATGCCTGATAAATGAGGTAGAAGGTGGGGAAAATGAACACTGCATGTATAGCTCCCCAGCAGTAGGTTTCGGGCTCACGTTTTCAACTTTAACTTGTCTATTACACTTCAGACTCATCAGCCCCTTCCTTTTCCTGCGTCCTCAGAGAGTTATCTAAGGAGCTTATTAAAAGGGCAGAGCCTCTCCGAGAACAAGATCCACTGCACGACTGAAGAACAGATTTCATGGATTTTCCTTCTCCCTGGTCTCCCACCAGGCACTGCGTGGGCTGCACTCTGCGCCGTGGTGACCCTGACTTTTTGCTCGTAGAAACCGTAGCCAACAGACAGAAAGCAGCAGTTATTTGGGAGAATCCTTAACTGCACTTTGTCCAATTTCTTTTTACCTTTGACATTTCATGGGAATGTAATAATCCCTCTTCGGTCCAGGTGGAAAGGTGGTACAGGCGAACAGTGAAGAGAAGACCTATACTACTTCTGTCCCCAGAGAGACAGCGGGCTGTCGGAGTGCAGGCTCTGGGGTCAAAATGTCTGAGTTCAAGTCATCAGTCACTGGCTGTGTGGCCCTGGGCAAGCTCCTTAACTAAAAATGGTGATGCCAGTATGACCTTCGCCTTTGGGTCGCACGAGAGGCTGGAACGAGATAATTCCTGTAAGGCACTTGGTTCAGCATCTTGCACGTGGGATCAAGGCACAGTCAGCGAGTCTCGGAGAGTGTTGGCTGCACAGTCCCTCTGCGGGTGACTAATACCACCTCAGCTTAGAGCAAGCGGAAAGAAACTCCCTCTCAGCCTGTGATCACCCTCCGCCTCGGGCCACATTTACACCCTCCCACTGTCCCTAAAGAGATGGAGCGTCCTGCCACTCAGCCCCCGTCACCCCAGGATCCCTTCATTCAGTGATTGCAGGCAGCGTATTCAAGGTCAGCGTGGCTCTCTCCCTCTCTGCACCAACGGGACACCTGGTGATGCTGGACCTTGAACTGCTTAGTCACTGGTCCAAAATGAGGAAGAACCAGAGAGAAGGCTTCTGGAAGGCATCCCCTGTCAGCTCCATGTATGAAATGTCCTTCACCTTTCCTACTTCTTCGCACACGTTGCTTCTCAACCACCTTGGGATAGAGCGATCAGTTCTCCTGTTTAACAGGCTAGGAGACTGAGGTTCTCCGATGATAGTGACTGGTAGGGATGCCCTGGTACAGCCTGCAGTGTCTGTTGAAGTCAAGTTCCGTGTTCTTCCCACAGCTGGTAGCCTTTGTGGTTCCCCTCGGAATTCTCTCCTATTTCTCCACACACTACTTTGTATTTTCATAGTTCTTTGTTTTTCAGTCTCCAGCTTCTAATTTAAGTGTTGCTGTCTGCTTCCCCTCCACCGTTTCCTCCTCCATCCCGGCCCCCATCCTTCTCCTCAAGGTTAAAATCACCAGGGCAATTCGGAGGAGTTGTAGGACCTCAAAGAGGCTCAGGACTTCTCAGTGATTCTATAGAAATGAACTAGAGCCCAGGACCTGTGTCCGTGTGTAACCAACTCAGTTGTCACTCCTGCACACACAGTTAAGAATGTGCTGCTCAGACACTCTGTCACTGGTAGTGCCAGAAGCTCGCATGGCTGAGGACCCTAGAGGGGGTCTTCTGGCTATTTCAGCTGCTGCTGCCTCCACCAGGAAACCTTGCTGTGACCACACAGACCGTCCCAGCTCTTTGGGACAACTGCACCCTGACCAGGTGACACCACAGGGGCCCTTGGGCCTGCAGCCACTAGCAGGGTGGGGATTCCAGGCCATGGCTGCCAGTGAAAGCTTTGTCCTGGCCTCCCTGAGGGCTGCAAGCTGGACAGGCCCCACAGATGGGTCTCCCTGGACAGCACAGACCCAGAAGGGTCTGAGTCAACCAGCTCTGCTCCCCTGACTCAGTCCCTGTGTGAGAGAGGGGCTGGGGGAGGGGCGGCAAGTGGCAGTCAAGTTGCACTTTTCTTCCTCCAAGTGAAGCTGAAAATATTTGCAGGAGTTGCCTGGAATGAAGGAAGGGCTGTACCCCTCCTGTTCTCCTCCTGCACCTGCGCTTGCCCTTTGCCCTTAGTCTTTGTTGGGCCTCTCACTCTGCATTTCCCCAACGAAACCTGTGTGGCCCCCACCAGGTTTTAAAAAATTTTTCTTGGAGTTTAGTTGATTTACAATGCTGTGTTAGTTTCTGCTGTACAGCAGAGTGAATCAGTTATACATATACATGTATCCACTCTTTTCGAGGTTCTTTTCCCATATAGGCCATTACAGAGTATTGAGTAGAGTTCCCTGGGCTCTACAGTAGGTCCTTATTAGTTATCTGTTTTATATATAGGAGTGTGTATATGTCAATCCCAATCCCCCAATCTGTCCCTCCTCCCCTTACCCGCTGGTAACCATAAGTTTGTTTTCTACATCTGTGACTCTATTTCTGTTTTGTAGATAGGTACGAGTTCCTTTGTACCCGTTCTTTAGATTCCACATGTAAGCCATATCATACAATATTTGTCTTTCTCTGTCTGACTGACTTCACTCAGTATGACAATCTCTAGGTCCATCCATGTTGCTGCAACCCTGCCAGGTTTAAGGGACGTGACTGAAACCATAGTACTTGGAAAGGGGAGTCATACTGCTGAAGGGGAGATAGGGGAGGGGAACATGCAGCAAAAATTCAGCAATTGTTTCCTATCCCAGTCTGGAGGTGAAGCCATCATGGGAAAAGTTCTGGGCATGTCCCCTAATGACAGGCTAGAAACCACTGGCCTTTGTTGGGAGGTGCGGCAGGTGGAGACGCTCAGCTACAGGCTGAGCCTGTTTCTCTCTGGATCTGACATCTGGATAAAAAGCAAATACATATATATATATTTTTTTTTCATTCAAATATACAGATGTTTCCAACTATTCCCATGCTGGGCGGCATGTAGACCCAGCTGCTTTGTCTAGTTAGAAGCAAAAGAATTTTTAGGGGCTCTTCTGAGGGCTGGGCTTTCAACTCTTATTTCACAGTTTGTCTGTCAAGTCACTTGACTTCAAGGAGGTACCATCGCTGTAATGGTAGGATGTGTCAGGAAGCTGACGTACCTCCCAGAGCCGTGCTTGGCCACAACGGGCGAGTGCACCCTCACGGGTGTCCCCAGAGGCTCGGGAACCCCTGCGCAATCATAAAGCCACTAGGCAGATGCCATTCCAGGGACAGCACAGCCCATTCGAGGCTCTGCTGACCTCAGAGGCTTTGATCCACGAGGGGTTAACCAAACCAAACCTCTGCCCTCTTTGGTTCTATCCAACACTGCTTGTCGTGAATGTTTTCATGTCAAGACGCAGGGAGCTGCCTAAAAATAATGTGGGTCGTTAAGCTCCCTGGCGTTCAGCAGTTTCCAATTTGCTCTTTTGCCATCAGCTGCCTCCCATTCACAATGAGATGATTAGATTCTCATGTACTCATCACATTCGTGCTATGTCATGTCATATTATATTTTAGGACATTGCTCAAAAATGGGTTTGACGGGGGATATTAATGTTGGTTCTTAGATCCAGTATGTCTTTTTTTCTTTCTTCCCTACCCCACCCCTGATCAGGCACCTGCTATCAATTTGACCAGCATGTAACCAGAATTCTCAGAACTTGCTCGTGGCTCCTGACGGATCTTGTCCATTCGTGCCATGGGACTGGGAATGCACTGCAGATGGCAAGCTGATTCGGTAAGCAGTAGTCACCATGTAGCATCTGCTGTGGTTGGCCAGGCACCTTCTGGGAAATAGTGACATGGCCTTGTGAAAAGCAGAGGTCTGGGGAGTCCGATGCTCCTAGAGGGTGTATGTGACCCCACCACAGTTAATTTGTGTCCTTGCAGAGTTGTCCGACTTCTCTGTTATTCCCCCATCTTGCTCTTGGATAGAGAACTAGCCCAGCTGTACAAGTCATTCGGGTCTCATGTTGAAAACACCAAAGCATCTCCTTGTAGGTAAATGACTAGAGATACAGAAGGATGCTGAGCTGTTTGCTCTTACTTTGCGGACCCTGTGGCACACGTATCATGCCGATACCCACGGTGCTACTTTGCTTACCTCTGAATCCATTTCCATTGCCACTGGAGCAAGCAGGTGAAGGGGAGCCTTGGGGCCTGATGACGGGGGCGAAGGCACTCTTCTGTTTGACAGCAGGAAAAACTGAAGAGGAAAATGGGAGGATGGAGGACGTGCTGGAAGATCCAACAGTGGGACTTGATGACATGACTGGAAAGCAAATGCACAATCCTTTTTTAGAAAGAGAAAGATCTAGGAGTTAAGTTCTCTCTTCAGTACATACAACCTCTACACATCGCTTGAGAAATTACGAATTTATTCCAGGCATTGTTCCTGATTCCAGGGATTCAAAAAGAAGTTGAATGTGACAAGGTCCCTGCCCTGTCCCCGTGGGAGGAATAAACAAATAAAAAAGACTAATAGGGTCATTGTCCTGTTGGAGGAGTGTCCACGACCCTGAGATACAGCGGGCAGAGTGCTTTTCTGCCTGGAAGAGTCAGGAAAGTGTCAGCAGGAGGTGAAATTGTGATAGGTCTTAATCCACAAGTAGAAGCTCGACAAGAGAAGGCTAAGACCAACAACTGAAAAATTACCCAGTCTACTAAAAATCAGAAACCTCTTTTTTTACCCTAAAAAGTAGTCCTGTCTGGGAGCCATGTGCTTCCCTGGCAATTCTCAGGGCACCAGAGGTTTGATCTGTCGGGTTGGCATCTTCTCTGAGTGCACCATCTCTATGGGCCACTTCCTCATTAAATGTAAAAGTTTATTAACATTTAAGAGATTACCTCCTTCTTCCTCTACTTTCAGAGCTCCTGGGAAATAAAGCTGCAAGTCAGCCTCCTCTGATGTGATGTGTAGAAAAAAATACCAATATTAACATTAAAGTGACTTAAAGGAAGCCAAAAACTAAGTGTTGTGGATTTCCAGGAAAAACAAAGGCAATTTACACAACGAAGGGCCCCATGTCTTAATGTCAGACACTCCACCAAGTCACATCATACAAGAAGATAATCTCCTCCTAGGTTCAACTTGCTCGAGAAAGGGGTAAACTTGAGTTCACAAGGGTAGAATTGTTCGAGATAGCATTTTATAGTATGAGGTCAAGTTTCAGGGGCTCATTTTAGCATACTGTCCAGAATTCTGAACTGTCCAAGTCACATGACTTGGTAAAAGGATTACTGGAATGTAATGGCAAAGGCCGTGACAAAGGCTAAGAGTGCTGACCTCTACTTCATATCATCAGTGGTCCAGATACTCCACAAAGTAAATCTGAAAGTGAGAACATGAGTGCGAGTTATGGTTCAAAGACCAAGTACGAGGTGAATTGAAGGTCCAGTGTTCTGATATCCTGTGGAAGACTCCATCCCCATTTCCCCCCTCTCCATATAAAGATAGACTTTGGGCTGTGTTCACAAATTGCCTATATAAAGCAATCATACAGCGTACCTCCAATATGATGTCTTTTACAGCCGTACGACAAACCAAAGACTTCAAAAAAAAAGAGCTTTATCTAAAAACTTCTTATCCTGAAGTGGTCCTGATTTAAAGGGCAGTGCAGAAGGAAGCATCCAAATACATCTTGGTCTTTCCACAAGTAATATGAATCAAAAGAAAAAAATGGTGGTATCGATATATATAGAATGAATAGACAAGGTCCTACTGTGTAGCACAGGGAACTACATTCAATATCCTATGATAAACCATAATGGAAAAGAATATGAATAAGAACGTATATATATATGTATAACGGAGTCACTTTGCTATACAGCAGTAATTAACACAACATTGTAATTCAACTATATGTCAATAAAAAAGAGAAAAAATTGGAAAGGAGGAAAAAAATCCTTAAAGAATCTCATGTAATACTTGAAGATGCAAATGAAGAAGAAATCTGGCTAATTCACTATTGCTGTGGGAGAGGATACAGGTTTAAGCACTGAGAATGGATCTTATTCATAGTTCCAAGTCAATCTCCTCTTCTAGCCTTGGTTTTAGTGTCAGTGAAATGTGTGTGTGTGAGCAGGGTGGGTGGGTGAGTCCTCTCCTCTTTCTGTAAGGCACAGAATCAGAGGCCAAAGGAACGCTGAGAATCAGGAGCCCCTGATTCTGCCCACCATGAAATCTCTGCCATACTATGTGATCCATGCGAGCACCGAAATGGCACCTTGGTTTCTGAGTCTGCAATAGCAGAATCTCCCCTCATACACCATGATAGAGGAGGGTTTTTATAATGGGAATTAGACACACACACACACACACACACACACACACACACACACACACACACTCAATTCCATGTATATTCAGCATATGACTCACTTCTACAAATACTTCTTTTTTAGTAACAGATCTAAAAGCATGCTCATTAGCATGGCCACCACCTCTCAGTGGGAAAGGAGTCACTTCAGGCTTCACCAGGTGGTGTAAAAGAATTGTTACAGAGCTGAATAAGCACAGAGCTGTAACATGCCCATTTAAAATATTTTTAACAGAATTTTTGTAAAATGTCAAATTACATCCAAATTTAAAATTTAGTGCGGCTATAATAAAAAGCCTAAAGGAAGTTTTAATCTGTGTGTGTCAACAAACATAACGTCTATATTTATCTATTTAAAACAACCACCACACTGTTAGAGCCAGAAAGTTTTGTTAAAAAAAATTTTTTTAAGGAGGCATTTGTCTTAACAGATATTAAAACTTATGATAAGCCTACACAAATGAAATCAGTGTTATACTAGCATAGAAATAGGCAGACAAATCCTTGGCGAAAATAGAGTCCAGAAACAGACCTGAGTATACATGAGAATTAGAACTTAATAAAGGTGACATTTCAAATTAGTGGGGAAATAAACACATGGGAACAATACGCTAGCCATTTGGAGACAAAATTTAGAGTGCTTCCTCGTGTTAAACACGAAAGTAAATCTAAGTGGATTAAACAGTTATTTGTAAAAGCAAAATTATGAAGGAGCTAGTAGAAAAATTAGGAAGTTATGTAATTTACCTAATCCTTTCAACCCCCAAACCTAAACAGAACATCGTAAGACATGACAAAAATATTTCTATAACACATACAGAAAAGGCAAATGACAAATTAGGAAAAATATCTGTCATCATTATTTAGATATATTCAGATTCTCAGTAGCTAATAAGTTTTTATAAATTAATCAGAGAACATCCCACTAGAAAAATGGGCAAGGGAAGTGAAAAGGAATGTCACAGAAGGAAAACTGAAAATGACCAAAAGGCCTTTATAGACCTATAAATGGTCAAACCGATTAGTAATCATATGTAAATTAAAACAGTAATGAGATGTTATTTTCCACTTACCAAATTGATAAAGATTAAGAAAAACTTAAGAGGGCGGGGAAACAGATACTATTCCTTTTCTAAAGGGAGTACTAACCTCTCTGGAGGGACTTCAATAATATGTATCAAAGTATTTGAAAATGTGCATATTTTTAACCCGGTAATTTAATTTCTAGAAATTAATCCCAAGGAGATAATCATAAATGTGCAAAAAAAAAAAAAAATCCAAGGGCGTTTTTATAGTCTTGAAAAACTGGGAAATAAGTGAAGTGACCAGCAATAGGGTAAACTATATTAGGTCCATAAAATGGACCACTATGCAAACATTAAAACTAATATTGGAGAAGAATATTTAATGGCATGGAAAGATACACCTCCTCAGATGAGTAAAGCAGATTACATAATAACACAGACAATGAGCCCACTTTTAGTTTTTTAAAAATACACAAAGAAAAAGTCTAGAAGGATGTGATACACATCCAAATTTTTAATGACGATATCTGGCTGACAGAATTGTGAAGATTCTTACATTTCTTTCTCTCACTTGTCTGTATTTTCAAAATTTCCTACAATGACCGTGTATTACTTTTGATGTAGCAGAAAGCAGCAAAAGCTGTTAAAAGAAACAAACGGAAAATCTCTGCTTCTTTGGGAAAAAAGAATATAATCCTGAGCAATAGGCATAATAGCTTTCCTGGACGTTAATGTGCCTCTTTGATCTAAGGCTTAACTGCCTGTAAACAAGGTTGTCTGTTAACCGTTCTTTCACAGATTCCTGGGAGAAGCTCGTTGACTGTAGTTAACTTTGCAATGCAAGCGCCACTCCTCATGTCTGTTCTCCGTTCTTAGGACACAGGCCTGCACTGATGGATTTTTATGGTGCCTAGCTTCGTATCTGTGACTGAGAATTTTGCCATCTTTCTTCTGCTCTCTTCTTCATTGATCTTATGGCTGAAACCCATCAGCTGTGCATCAGAGCAGACGCTGTAATTTTCAGGATGTATCTATCCATAACTGCAAGGCTATACTTTAAAAGTTAACCGTGGTTATCTCTGCATAGAAACAGTGTCATTTTTCTTTTCTTTTTTACATAGGCGTGCTTTTCAATGCGCCTACAGTGAGAATGTTACAATTGTCATAGGATATTTTTTTTTTCCTTTCTGAAGAAAAAGACAATAGAAATACACCAAAATATTAACAAGGTGTTTTTTTACGATGGGAGTGTACTTTCTTTTAAAAACTATTTCCACATGTTCTAAATGTTCTACCATAATCATTTAACACTCTACAACAGAAAACGTCTTGATATTTATTTTTGAAAACATGAAAATATTGAGGCCTGGGACAGACTCTAAGACTATATAACTGAAGTAGGAATCCCTGAGGCCAGGGATGAAGGATTCTGTCTGTATGGATCCTGTTCCAAACTTTGCATGTGCTTGGTGGCTATTCTACTTTGGAAGAAGTGGTCCCTTGGGTGTTGCAGGCTTGTTGAGTAGAACATCTTTGGGGACACCAGCGTGTACTGTTTTAGGAAAGTGGATCACACATACTTGAAATTGAAAATTTCTCTGGACACCTCTCTCTGTGGATAGAGGCCAAAGTAAAGGCAAGCACTTCTAGCCCAGAAATCTCTGTGAACATGGGGAGTTAAGGAAAAACCACTTTTCTTCTTCTAAGGATTGATTGGCTTGCACCGTCCCAGCTGGAACTCACCAGGCACACATCCTCCTTTGCATCGAGCCATTGCATTTGTTGGCGCTAAGGGGTCTGTCAGCGTTTCATTATAACCTCCTATTGTCAGGGGTTTAGAATTCAGCCATAAAAACTTGCACTGAGCTGGAACTTGGCACATACTGCTACCGCCAGGAAGTGAAGTTTGTATGTGGAATTGAAAAAACATCTGTTTGGCCATTTTTGAAGTGGTGTGAGAGCAAAAACAGTAAAGATGCAGGTTTTTGATACTCTGCGTTGGCCGTCATGCAAGTCAACTTGACTGAGAGGTTTGACTTTATTTCTTTTTAACGTCTCTGGCAAGTGATTGCTCCGTGGCATGGCCCAGCCACATCAGACTAGTTTAAAAAATAAAATGAAAAATCAGAGAAGGGTGTTTTCAGACACAAGCAACTGAACTGATGAAATGGTATCCCCCTGAGCTTTTTAATTTTTTTAATTTAAAACAATTTTTTTGTATTTCCCAGAGAATTTGAGACTTAGCTGGGTAGAAATACAGGTCACGTGCTATTGTAATGAACTCCATAGGGTATTCAGTATTTTTGCAGTAGGGGATTTTATTGTAATGAATGCACTGTTTGGAATTCCAGTCCCAGTTTGCAATTCCTTCAGACCGTTCCTCAGAAAAGGAAGGTGCAAGGGGTCTCACAGACCCAGCAGGAAACAAGAGGACATTCTCTGCTGTGTTTCCCACTCCCTCTGGGCAGGGTACCTTCCTCTTTCTATTTTGTGCATGCTCTCTTGTTTTAATGGGTGACTTGAAGACAGGGTGTTACTGTTTTTCTTATGGCAGTGGGATTGACTGATCAAGAAAGGGTAGTGGAAGGAAGTTGTCACTTGCTGGAGTGGGAAGTGTCCCTTTCTACCGAATGAATTATCTAGTAAGAAACATCAAGCCATCCACACCAGATGGGCAATTTCATTCATCCATTCACTCTCTCTCTGTCTCTCTCTTTCTCTCTGTCTCTCCACTCACACCCTACCCACTCCTTCCTGTCTTTTTTTTCTCTCTCCCTCACCCATCACCACACTAAACACTATATTGTTATATTAACCATTTTTGATCTACAAAAATGAGAATTTCACATGGTTCAACCATGTATGTATGATTGAACATATGAAATTACACATTTTGGAAATAAAGAAGAGGTGGTTTCATACGGCTCAGCCTAATAATGTGTTGTAAAGACATGAGATATTTTTAATATTACTGAATAATTTAAAAACATGATATCCTGAATCTGATGACATATGATCTAGCCACATTTTTACTGTTTATTGGCAATGAACCCTTGAGTAAGTCATTTAATAACCCTTCATATCTTAGAAGGGAAAATGATGATGATACTAGTATAATAAATTATATTAATAAATATATAAACATGTAAATTATATACATAATAAATTATTATGATTATTATATCCATATTATATGGTTGTGAGGATCTGATTGGACTCTATGTGTGAACATGCTTTTTAAGCTGTAAGGTAGAATGTGGCTGTAAATTACTCTTACTGTTGTGACCGTTATCATGTGACATTATTTACACAATGGCTCTTTTGTCCTTGTATCACTTGCAGGGGCTATTGAAGACGTGGTCCCTTCTGCACATAGGATACCCTCTCCACAAGAATGCATGGGAGAAATCTCTCCAAGGTCTCAGCCACAGAAAAATCAGGTTTCTCTTGAGCGGCTGCTACTACAACAACTATTGCTACTACTAATAATGTGTGGACATAAAATTTTATAACAAATAGTGTTTGTCTCTTTGCTTTACCATCTTGGAAGCCTCCGAACCAAATGAATGACTCCCTTGGATAGACCAGACGGCATCCATTCTAAGCCTTGGGTTCATCTCATTTTCTGATACACATTTTTTTCTTTTATGTTTCTTATAGTCTCTATTTTACACTTTCATGCTGCCCATCTGACTATTAATATTCCCCCAGAACATTTTTGGAACAAGAGAAGGTTAAAAACAAGTAAGTAAGTAAGTAAATAAATAAATAAATAAAGCAAGCAACAGTTTGTTTTCCTCGGTCCCTCTGATCTCATTGATCTAATTGGCCATCTGACAGGACACCATGAAGAACGCATGTCTTTGCAGCAACGAGATTTGTCCTGGGAGAACCAACCTCTGCTGCTTGGCTACTATATCTTCACCACACTTAGTATGAGTGTTGAGTGTAATGAATTGAACAGATAACCCAGAAGTAACTCCTGGATGTGTGTCCCCAGGGAACCACAGGCCCAAAGGCTGAGAGCGGTGGCCTCCAGACCCTTGGCACCACTTCCCGAGCTGCGGTAGAAATGGCCTTGACTCCCCCTTGTTCCTGGCACGAGGGAACCGCTCTGGGCAGCAGAGCCTTGCAGCAAGGTACAGCATTTCAAGGACACTCCGCTCAATCACTCAGCCTCTCCACGGTGGCTTCTCCCCCAGCCTGAAATAGTCCCTAAGTAGCCTCATCTTCTCTGAGGCTCCTGGCCTCACTGTGCGAGGTCCCAGCTTAGCCCCCAAAGCCACCTGAACGAGCTTTTGTAACTTCCTAGAACGTCTAGCTTGCTGCTAGCCCACAGATTAGGACTAAGAGCCTCTGTCCCCATATATTACACTGTCACCGGCAGTCAAGTTCCGTCTCTCTGGAGGTACGTAAGGGAGGGGAGAGCCATGTAACAAAGTGAAAAGGGAGATGGTGTGTTACACAGAATAACCTGGAGTCATCAACTCTGTGTCCAGATTCTTGTCCTTCTCCACTCTAGCTGTCTGATCTTGCACAAGTCAGTTAACTGCTGGACACCTAAACTTCCTTGCCTATACTGACCTCAGAGAATTCTTGTGAAGAGTAAATGAAACACTACATCTGAAAGTGCCTAATGAAGAGTGTACAGAATGTTAACTGAGTTGGAATCTTAATTCCTTGCTCTCGTCTACACAAGCCACATCTATTGTTTCCCTGTAAAAAGGGAATCGTTTCACTCCTCTTCTCTCCCTTGAAAAGCTTTGAGTAACCAGATGAGCCCAAGTCCACTAAAGGAAAAGTACAAAAGGCAGGAAGGACCACTACTCCGTGAGTCAGTAAGATGCTGGAATGCTACTCTCCCTCAAAAGGCTGAAGAGTAAAACCCAGGGATAGAGAGACAGAGAGAGCTGGAGGGATGGACAGGGCACTTACTTCCATAAGGGGAGCCTGTGGGGGAGCCGTTTAGAAATCCTGGAGATCCTGGGACACCCAGGTTGGCCATAGGGACGTTGCTGTAGCCGTTCATACTGTTACTAGAGGTGCTGTAGTTAGACTGCTGAGGGGTAGAGCTGGAAGAGTAGCCCCGCGGAGAGATGCTGCTTGTGTTGCGGATGTATCCTGGACAACAGAGAGAAAGCGCAGATAAATGAACCCGTACACACACACGCACACGCACACACACCCCAGACCAAATATGGCAGCATAGGTCCACATGGCCCCCAGTCTATAGAATTCCAAGTTGACTGTGGGCTGTAGTGGAAAAGTCTGCAGTTTGTCTTCAAACTTTTTATACCTTCCTGTCTCTTTCCCATCTCGCACAAAACCATATCCCTGTAATTTCCCCCTTCCTCCTCTTTCCCATTGGCAGTCAACATCTCCAACTCACACCAAGGAGTGAATGACTAACGGCAGTGACATCTCCCAAATCCTACTTCATGTAACGCTAGAGCCCTCTGAGATACTGATGGGTATCACTGAGAAAAGCGTTCTGTGGTCAAATAAAGCTTGGCAGATGGTGCGTACCGTAGCGTATTGAAGATTCGTATATGAAGGGCCTGGAGAATGAATAAACCGGTTTAACTTTGCTAACCTAGTGTTTCCCAAATTTAACATAACATAGCATCTTTTCTGGGTGCGATGGGGAAAAGGCATCCTGATAACATTTCAAGAGGCACTAGCACTCTGAAGATCACAGCTATAGAAGTCTGAAGTTGTTACCATGCCCTGCTGGGTGGGGTGGGGAACATTTTCGTTTAAAATGCATTGATAAGTTCATCTAAATGGGCTGTTCGTTCGAAATAATGCCCTTTGCAGCAACATGGATAACACCAGAGCTTATCATACTAAGTGAAGTAAGTTGGAAAGAGAAAGACAAATACCATATGATATCACTTATATGTGGAATCTAAAATATGACACAAATGAACCAATCTGGGAAACAGAAAGAGACTCACAGACACAGAGAACAGACTTGTGGTTACCAAGGTGGAGGGGAAGTAGGGGAAGGGATGGTTGGGAGTTTGGGGGTAATAGACTCAAACTGTTACATTTAGAATGGATAAACAACAAGGTCCTACTGTAGAGCACATGGAACTATATCCAATCCCCTGGGATAAACCATAATGGAAAAGAATATAAAAAAGAATGTACCTGTGTGTATAACTGAGTCATTTTTCTGTACAGCAGAAATTAATGCCACATTGTAAATCAACTACACTTCAATTTAAAAAAATAAGTTAAAAAAATAAATAAATGGGCTGTTCTTTGACCAAAGACTCGGAAGCATCCGCAATTGAATGCACGGAGATCCAGTCCAGAGTGGGATGAGTCCTCCCCACACTTCTGAAACCCCAGCACGGAGACCTCACCTAATCTATCCTGAAATAACCACATAGGATAACTGTCTCTAAAGCTATTTAAGAAATGACCCAAATTTAGGGGAAAAAAAAAAAAGGTAATAATATGTCCCACCCATCTTTCTGTAAGAAGAACTCACCCTGAGCATGAGACTGAGGAATTCCCTTGCAATGGATGATAGAATTAGAAATAAAACTATCCCAAGGTGAGGTACATCAGCAGAAACATTTACTCCTTTTAAAACATGATTTATGATAAATTTAGCACCTTAATAAAATCAACCTCAATGACAAAAACCTTTACTCAATATGCTTTACGTGTAGAAGCACTGTTAACTGTGTTGCTGTATTTATATATTTGTATACATTTGCATATATATATATATATGAGATAATACACAAATAGAAGTTACCAAACTAAGCCATTCACCCTTGGCACTAGGAATTTGGGTGTAATTAACAAGAATAGCAATAACTCAGCTCCTTTCCATTATTCAGTTTGATGACCACAATAGCAGAAGTGTAGATTTTATTCAAACAATACCCGTAAATCTAGTTTTAGTAAGCCTAAACTCTTCTAAATTCACAATACTTAAATGTTTCCAGTTAAAGGATTCTGCCAGGTACCTAAAGAGCTCAAAGTCTAACAATACACCTAATGTTGAGATAATCCAATGACTGCATTGCTTATCTGGACACACTCTTTTTTGTTTGTTTTTGCAGTACGCAGGCCTCTCACTGCTGTGGCCTCTCCCATTGCGGAGCACAGGCTCCGGACGCGCAGGCTCAGCGGCCATGGCTCACCGGCCCAGCCGCTCCGCGGCATGTGGGATCTTCCCAGACCGGGGCACGAACCCGCGTCCCCTGCGATGGCAGGTGGACTCTCAACCACTGCGCCACCAGGGAAGCCCTGGGACACACTCTTATAAGAATCAAGCTTTAACTCCTTCCACTCCAGCAGAACCAGCCTTTTAAATGTATAAGATGTTTGCCTTTTGACTCTGAGAAAGGTAGTACCTTGATTATTTCCCTGTGTTGACTCTGAGATGCTGACCCCAAGCTGGCTGCCATAAGAATTGATGCCCATCATGCCACTGTGAGCTGGAGAGCTGGAGAGAGCTGGGATCTGGCTGGGATTCCTGGGGACACTGTACAGGGCTTCAGCAATATCTGCGGCACGCTTCAAAATGATGTCCTACAAAGTGGCAGGTTGAGGTGAATGTTTTTATCGAGCAATAAGAGTTGAACTCAAGAGAGTGCAAAATGGGAGCACCTAACCTGGTTATTGTGTGGTGTCCCATAGAGCGCCTCCACCAGATCTGCAGCTCTTTTCAACAGCATTTCCTAGAAAAAGAAAAGAAAGGGTGGGATATAAGCAAAGGTAAAACCCAAAATGGCCAACACAAAGGAAAATTATGTATAAAAATCGAAAGTCCAGGCATCCCCCTAAAGTGTAAGTAACTAGCCAAGAGGTCCTATATTTGGTTTGACAGGTAGAATATGATCACCAGTATGAATCCCCCTATAAATGCATATCTATGTGAAATACTTCTCGATAAAAGGGCTCCACAAATAGCTTGGCTACCAAAACAAAACACAACCAAATTAAGGGTAAAGTTGGCTAAAATTAATAACGTCATGGGAGTTCCATTAAAAACTACTTACAGACCATTCCATTAAAAAAATCTGGTATTCTAATTAACCAAATAGTCTCAAAATGATTGATTGACCTGAGCTTAGCTGCCTGCCAAGGAGTTGTCCAGAGTACTGAAATTATCCTGGCAATGCCTTCTGCAAAATTTTACTCTAATAAAGATGAATTCTTTCAGTAATATTTCCCCCTGTTCACTTTAACCAGAGAGAATTAGTAATCAGTAATCCCTTTCCTCTCATTTTGTCTTTTCCACCTTCTGTTTTTAACAGCCTTTTAAATTGCTATTAACCTACTTTCTAGATATCATCTAATTTAATGGTGGGGCTGGGGATTTTTCCAAGAGGAAAACAAAGGTGCTATGCAGAAGCAACTGCGGTACTTGAATTTCACTCACACTACAGAAAAGAGAACATGGCATTTTATAATGTATGTACTTAAAATGTAAATAAAATGTTAAAATTTCGTAATTTCTCATTAATTAATACCTAATAAATTGACTTTTTTTTTTTTTTTTTTGCGGTACGCGGGCCTCTCACTGTTGTGGCCTCTCCCATTGCGGAGCACAGGCTCCGGACGCGCAGGCTCAGCGGCCATGGCTCACGGGCCCAGCCGCTCCGCGGCATGTGGGATCTTCCCGGACCGGGGTACAAACCCGTGTCCCCTGCATTGGCAGGCGAACTCTCAAGCACTGCGCCACCAGGGAAGCCCTGACATATTTTTAAATAAAGAAAGCTAAAATAATGGGCCAGATTCACTATATAATTTTTGTGAGCAAGTTCATTTGAAACAGATACATTTCATAGAAATTATATATGGATGTGTTTTTCACTTCCTTAAATATCTGTGTACATACTAGGCCTTCAGTGAATACTTGATTGTGGATTACTATGTCCTTGTAATTACGGGTAAACAAAATTACGTTTAAATACAAAGGAATGGGAACTTATACTTTTAAGCAATTATATAATTATTTATTTTCATAAAGTTGGCAATGTTTTATAAGCTGAATAACTGTAGTGTGTTTGTTTCATAGGCCCAACTTTTCAGATTTCATATTTCCTCAGAGATTGACCATAACATAGTTCACAGTTAGTAGATATTTTATGCGCATCTTGTATCTCCAGCTTAGCCAAATTTCAATGCCTAATTTAATTTTAAAGAGACTTAAGTCGCTAGATTTATCTAAGTTTGCTGAAATTCTCCAAGAAGGTTTTCACGTGTCATTTTCCAAAGCATTTTACCTTAGCTAATCTCTCAGGATCTCCAGGATGCCTTGGGATGACTTTCTGCAGTCTCTGAAAGCCATAGTCTATGGTGGGTTCATTTAATGCTGAAAAACAAAAGTCTTCTTTTTGAGTATATAAACTGGCCATAAAGCAAAGCTTCTAATTAAGTTTGCCATGGGTAATAGAAAGGTCTCCAAATTTCAGGATTATTATAATTATTTTATCATTTCTGCCTTAAGTACACACACTTATCATTCTCTGCTCACTCCCAAATAATCAGAAACATTACACAATCAACCATATCCCATCCCAGTTTCTTCGGAAGACGATAAAGTACCTTTACATGCTTTTCCCTTCTTCCCTCTTTGCCTCCTTCCCCAGTATACCTTCATCATCTAGTAATTCTTCTCCTAAACATCACTTTTTCTTAATCATGCTCTTAAATATTTACGTTCATACATATATAAACCTTCTGTGAGTTTATTCTCATAAAACTCTCTTCTTATGCATAATAGACTTTCAGAATTTTCAATTATGTTTTGTTACACATACATTCACTTCATGTCAGGCTTCACCAGATACTGCCAAGTTCCATAGGAGCAGAATTCACACTTATTCTGTTTTGCCACTGTGTTCTCATTGTTGGAGACAGAGCCTGGCACATAATAGGCACTTCGTGTCAGCAATTGTAAAATGAATGAGTGAGGGAATGAATGAATGAAGGACCTATTTTGGCATTTCTACTGTGCTAAAGAGTTTTGGGGGTTGATTCCTTTATCCTTCTTTCCTCTCCCCCTTTACTTTTTAAAATTTTGTTGCTTATATTTTATGGTTTTAAAATTAATACACGATCAAAGTAAAGAAAAAAGATATAAAGGGTAAAATAATAATCACCTGCACTCCCATTAGGCAGCAGTAAACACAGGAGGGTGTATTTCCTTTTTAATCTTACTTTTTTTTTTTTCCGGTACGCGGGCCTCTCACTGTCGTGGCCTCTCCTGTTGTGGAGCACAGGCTCCGGACGCGTAGGCTCAGCGGCCATGGCTCACGGGCCCAGCCGCTCCGCGGCATGTGGGATCTTCCCGGACCGGGGCACGAACCCGCGTCCCCTGCATCGGCAGGCGGACTCTCAACCACTGCGCCACCAGGGAAGCCCAATCTTACTTTTTGCGTATATGTTTTATAAATATTTTTTCTTTTATTTGAACTCTCAAAGCAACACCTTTTATTTAAAGAAATTATTTAAATTTTTAAATATAGAAGCAAAGATAAAATCATCCATAATCTCACCATTTTAGAGATGATCTGGGTTGACATTTTTGCTTATATCCTCCAAGATTTAAACACACACACATACTTAAAATTATTCAGAGCATACTATTCACACCATTCCATAACCTACTTTTTATCCATTTAAAAATATATCAAATTTTCCCCCAGGTCATTAAATATTCTTTTATAACATTATTTAAAATTCCTGCATATTTTTCCATGACATGGTCTATAATTTATTTAAATGGCTTCCTAATGTTTGGCATTTAACGTGGTCCTAATTTCTCACTATTATAAAAATCAGAGCAAAAATTATCCTTTGTGCATAACTTTAATTCTTTCGATTGGAAAATTCTAAGAATTAGAATTACCAGAGAAAAAATTATGATTTATATTTAAGGCCTTTCACACATACTGTCAAACCACTCCTCAGAAGAACATATAAATTTATACTCCCTCCAGCAAGGCATGTGGTCATTTTAACTTACATTTCTTTATTCATCAGTGAGGCTGACATTTTTTTCTTATACTTGCTGATCATTTTAATTTTTTCTTTTATGAACTGCTTATAATACTTTCTGCACTCTTTTCTATTGAGAATTAGGCCTTTTTTTTTTTACTTGTAAAAACACTTCACATATTAATACTTTTAACACTCTGTCACCATGTTACAACATTATGTCCAAATCTGTCCTTAGGTATTACAGGTAGAAAGACCATCCCAACTGCAAGATCTGGCAAGTACACATTCACACATTCACACACACACACACACACACACACACACACACACACACGGGGTGGGGGGGTGTTGCTTATACATACATATACATATACGAATTCTTTACGTCCACCAGTAAAATGTGTACTGTTCATCATACAGGTAATAAGATTTTTGGTTTTCATTTTTTGCTATGTATTTCACTTTTTGTTGATTTTATTGTGAATATGATTACTCCCTCATCATATTTTCTAAGAGTTTTACTAGCACCTAGAAACACTTTGGTTGTTATGTGTCTGCACAGGCAGTGTGTGTGAGGGGAGTGTGTGGTGGTATATACTATAGTCATTAAGAGAATCAGCTTTAGAGTCAAGTAGATCTTGGGTTTAAATTCCAGCTCCGCCATTAACGTCTGTGAACTTCTGTTTAAAATCCATCTCATGGGTTTGCTGTCAAAATTAAACGAAACAATGTGTAGCATGCCCCCAGCACAGTTCTTTGCAGGTAAAAGATCTTAACCAATAGTAGTTGTCTCTTATTTTGTAACCAAACCCGACAGATGTACTTATTTTTTCTGTTCATTCTTAGGTTTGTACATTCAGAGCATCTATATGTGATGATCATTCTGTCTCCTTTTGATAAGTATATTAATTCTGTTTAGTTCTCTGAATCCCATTCTTGTATTGGCTAAAACTTCCCAAAAAGTGTCTGAAAAGAGGATGACTTTTTTTCCTTTAAAGTGGGAATGACGCTAACACTTCAGCACCAAATGTGATGTTGGCTATTTGAGATAGATATTAGTTATCATGTTTTTGTTGTTGTTGTTGTTGTTGTTGTTTGCGGTACGCGGGCCTCTCACTGTTGTGGTTCCGGACGCTCAGGCTCAGCGGCCATGGCTCACGGGCCCAGCCGCTCCACGGCATGTGGGATCTTCCGGGACTGGGGCACGAACCCGTGTCCCCTGCATTGGCAGGCAGACTCTCAACCACTGCGCCACCAGGGAAGCCCTAGTTATCATGTTTTGATAAGGGCTTTTATCAGGACTTCTTAGAATTTTAGGAAATTACAGTCATATGAATTTTCTCCCTCGACCAATTTAAATTGTATTTTAGAGTAGATTTCTCAATATTTCACAATTAATCCTTGACTCATGGATGTGGTATATAATTTGCTTAGTATACTTCTGAATACAATTTGTTACTGTTTTCTTATGATTGCTGGTGGGAGGATGAAATCAATTACATTACTGAGAATAGCGCCTGGCACAATTTAAGCCCTCAACACGCGTCTGTTACTATTATTGTTGCTGGGGATTTGTGTGCCCATGTTAGTAACTGGGACAGTGTGCATGGTGTTGTTGGCTTCTGAAATTTTATTTTATACCAGCTTTGAAAAAATAAATTGAGAAGCTTTCTATATTTTATCCTATGCACTATAAAACTTATATTGCATGGATATTATCTCTTGACTCAAAGTTTGAAAGAACCCCTGTGAAACTGCTCTTGTCAAAGTCACCAATAACATCTTAGCCAAACCAAGAGGAAATTTTCCATTCTTACCTTAAACTCAAGTTAGCATTTGACACTGGAAAAACTCTCCTGCTGGAAATACTTCAACTCATTGGCTTTCTTTTTTTTTTTTTTGCGGTACGCGGGCCTCTCACTGTTGTGGCCCCTCCCGCAGCGGAGCGCAGGCTCAGCGCCCATGGCTCACGGGCCCAGCCGCTCCGCGGCATGTGGGATCTTCCCGGACCGGGGCACGAACCCGTGTCCCCTGCATCGGCAGGCGGACTCCCAACCACTGCGCCACCAGGGAAGCCCTCACTGGTTTTCCTGAATGCACACTGCCCTGTTTCACCCCTGCCGCTCCACTCAGGCAATCGCAACCTACTTTGAGGACTGCTCAGCTTCCTCTGTCCGTCTGATGCTTCTTGTTGCCAAGGCAGTCTTCTGCTTGCCTATACATTCTTCCTCAGCAACCTCATTAGTGCCCCCAGGATTCCCATGTCAGGCCACATGCTATGACAAATCTTTACTTCCAGTTCAGATAGCTTGCCCAAGATTCAGCCTTATTTATCCAAGTATTGGCTGGAAATGTCCACCTGGATGACCCATAGATTCCTCCCTTTCAAGATACCCCAACTACTACCCCAGTAGTATTCATGTTACTCACACTGAATGGCCATGAGCCATCAAGAAATCATGCATTTCATTAAGATTTTAAATGTTTTAGCATAGAATCTAATAGAGTATTTGTTTAAAATTTCTACTCTTCTATTTATGACTCTCCACACAGTCCCTCACCCCGTACCAGCTTTGTTACAACATTCTGAATAGTCCTGTTTCTAATTTTGTCTTCCTTTAGTTCCAAAGAGAATATCCTAAAATTTCTAGGTGATTGAGTATTAAACTCTTAATTATTTATTCTAATTAATTGCACTGGATTCAAAAAGGTGGCCGGCAGAATATCTGCCTTTTGAAATGTATTAAGTTTTTTGTGAATTCATATTAGTCTTGTCTGTGTTCCACGGGAAATGCTTTCAATGTATTATTTAATGTATCTTTTTGATCATATTATTTAACATCTTTTATACATAATTGCTGCTATAAATTTATCCTTCCACATGTTCCTTGTATGTCTAATAGGTTTTTAATGTATATGTTTTTCTCTAGTGATTAGGAAGATGCACATCCTATTTTAATTTAAAATAGTCCCTCTGGCTTTCTATAAAAGTATTTTATTTTTCCTAATTGAGTCTATGGAGCCCCTCCACATATAAAAAAAAAACTGTTGCTTACCCTTAATTTCCCCACCTCATTCTCTGTACTTCTACATTTTTGTTGATGGTTCATCCTCTTCAGCTAATATTCCTATTATTAGATTTTCTATGATCTGTCCCTTTAAGACATTAACTTTCATGTTTATGTTAAGCTTTGTCATCATATTAACAATAATTCAGATACTATATGTTTAATCGCTTTTTCTTCTGACCAGTGGTCCTGTGGTACCATAACTTTTCCTTTCTTGCCTTCCTCACTGATCAGTTCTCCAGCAGTCAGTTTACCTCAGTAGGAATAAGAACTGAATTCTGTCGGGGCCCTTGAAATAAGA